TGGCTGCCAGTACAGCGGTGGTGGTGGGAGCCTCTCCTGCCTCCTCAGCAGTGCTAAGGATGTCCAACTGCTCCCCGCTGGCAAGTGGACATCCCCCAAGGGCTTGCTGCCAGGCTGCCAGAGGGATGTCTGATTGCCATCTTAGGCCCAATTCCCAGGGGAGCAGGCCTAAGCCAGCAGGTGGTCATCCCCCGAGAGGTCCCAGACTGAGAGAGGGCACAGGCCAGGCTGACGAACCCACCCCCCCCACCCCCGAAGTGCACAAATTTTTGTGCACTGGGCCTCTAGTTATATATAAGCTATATAATTTCTAGATCTGATCTACATAATACACATATGCATATAAAATTGCTTTGTTCTTTATAAAATGCTGTGCAAAGGTAGCAGGCTCTCTGCCTCAGCTGAGCTTGTGGTAGTGTATGTGATCTCTGGAGTAGCTTACATCAACTCACAAGCTCCCTTCTCTTTTCTTACAGCCTGAAAGAATTTCTGGGGAGCAGTATGGAATCCATTCTGATGTCTGGAGCTTAGGAATCTCTTTCATGGAGGTATGGTGTTTTTTATAAATAGATGTTTCTATGTATATTCATAGTAATATTTCCTCTCTGGAAGAATATATATATATGTATACACAGTGTTTAAAGTTTTTATTTTGATATCCTTGCATGGCTTTTGAACCAGCTATTTCTCACAGGTCACCTTGTAAAAGTTAACCTAGAGTGCTTCTTAAAAATGCAACTTCCAGACTCCATCCAAGACCAGTCCATATCGCAAAGAATCTGCATCGTTAGCATGTTCCCTGGGTGATCCTTATGTACACAAACACAGAGAACCTGTGTTCTAAAAGACAGTTCAGAAAAATTCTGGTTGGAATGCATATATCACTTCCAAAGGTGATTACTTTAAAGAGTACAGCCCTACTCATTTGGATGTATAAGTTCTATGTGTTTGTTTAGAAAGAAAAAAGTCACCTTGTTCCAATATAGTCATATCACATGTGAGGGCACAGGGTGTGATATCATCTGGGGGGAGGGTAAGGTGTATGTATTTAATACAATTTAATGCTTCTGCTCTTTATAAATGTATTTAGAATGGACTTTATCTTAGTGGACTATTTGAAGCCCCACTAGATCTCTGTGCTAAGATTTCTGTATCATGACCCTTGATCTACAAGGAAATGCATATGATTTATATTAGAAGAACATCTGGGTCTGAGTTATAGTATTATAGAGTCTGGACACTCATAAGTGCTTCAAAAATACTTTGATTCAGATAAAAGAGGGCCTTTTTAAAACTATAAAGGATTCCTTAAATAAGATCATAGATAGAGTTGCATTCATGCTTTTATCACCTTCTTTTGGTCAAGTACTTTTTGTATGATTTTTGTAATGTATGAATGCAACTGGATTTGTAAGGAAATATCTTCAGACTAAATTCACCTGCACTGAGGAAAGAAAGCAAAAATAAAGTATTCAGTGTTTATTAAACCATATTCTCTACTTCTTCATAAAAAGGGCCTCCAAAAGGAAATGCAATATGTGTGCATCAGCTTATTGGTTAGCCATAGTAGTGGACAGACACTCAAAACAGTCTCTCAATAGAATTCTGAAGGGATTGTTCAATTAGCCTTTGTCAGGGGAAACTAGTACTTTTGATTTGTGAGGCTCAGGCCTTCCTGTTGCATAATTTTCCTTTAAATTTTTGTCATTGAATGTATTCAGTAAATGACCAGATAAACTGTAGAACATTTGTAAAGTTGTGCGGTGTAGAGATAAGAACCCTAGATTCATTAGGAAAGACCTAAACTACAATTCCAACTTGGCTACTGGCTTTCTAGGTGGCCCTCTGTGAACCTCACTTGGGGTTTCAGCTTATTCATCTGTAAAGTAGGGACCTCTAAGCTCCTTTCCAGACTAACATTCAGTGACTCTAAGCAGTCTGCTGTTGTCTCTCTTTAACTTCCTGCAACAACTCTAGAGTTATATGACTTAGACAGTGGTATATCCTAGCTTGGCATAATTTGCAGAGGCATAGCAATACTGTGAGAAAGCATAAATAACAGATTTAAGATTTTGAGCCCATATAAATATTCACCATCCATTCCTTCCACATTTATTTTTTCATTCATATATCGAGGTTGTGCCATGCCTGCTGGTAAGCATTGGGGATATAGCAGTGAAAGGAGACTCCAGTCTCCACTCTCATGGAGTTGCATTTGGTGAGGGGTGGGGTATGAGGAGAAATAAAAGAGAATTATAACTAAATATATAATTTGTCAGGTGACGATAAGTCCTGTGTTTTATACCAAATTCATTTGGGGTACAAGATAATGAAAAATATGTGATAGGGAAGGGGAGTAGGAGGTTTTGAGTTCATAAATGAGTAACTGTAGGCAATTCAATAATGAACAGAACTCCAGGGTTCTTTGGGGGCAGATGAGATGAGAACATGACCTGAAGAGTTTGGAAAGTTAATCCAAAAGAAGCACTTGAAGGTCAAAGTTCTTTTTTCACCACAGTATGCTTGGCGTAGACATGATAAATCTTTTTTAAAATCACTATAGATAGAGAGCAGTGTGAAGCTCAGTAGCACTTTAAAATTCTGAGTGATTGTGTTCTGAAAAGTTGACCTCTTCTAAGAATTGCTTCTCTTCTGTTTATCCTCACTTTCAATGTTTACACTCTGAAGAATAGAAAGTTTCATTTCCTCGATAATTATTATTTTAGCACTGACCACGTGCTAGGCCTTGGAGAGTGGGACATACAAAGCTGACAAAAGCCTGCCTCTGCTGGAGAAGACAGCCGCCTGACACCCCGAACAGTGTAACAAGGCCTTCAGGAAAACGTTTATGAAGGACTCAGTCACAGAGGGTGGGCGGTGAGGTGGTTCTCAAAGGAGTTGACAGTTGAGCTGGGTTGGTCTTGGAGGGAGATTGCCACTGGGAGCAAGAAAGAAAAGGTGGAGGAGCCCTGGCCACCGTCAGCACACTCTAAGGTGGTCCTCTGTAAACCCTTTAGGAGAGCTCCCTTGTCAAAACAGGCCGGTCTCAGCTCGGCCATTCCACTACTTCTGTGTGGATACCTTCCTCCACCTGCTTTGAGTCAGTCAGTTTATTTTGCTTGCGCGTGAGGGGTAAAGAAACAAAGGGATAAAAACTATGGGAAGCTGAGCAAAGGAATTTTCCTGAAATTACACAAGAATCAGATAGATACAAAATGGGAACTAGAGTTTTCTCCCTCCACCTAGCACTCCCACCAGCCCCAACCCCCACAATTCCATAAGCTCCTGACCCCTCCCTGATGCAGGAATCAGAAGGTTGCCTTCGTTGTTTTAAACTCCTAACATAACGAGCTTCACCCCTGCTTGCCGGCTTCATACTGCCCCTCGTTAATGTGCTG